CATGGATTCTATGTGCATTATTCCCCTAGCGCTGGAGTTCTGCCATTCTCATTGATGGGTAAACTTGCTCTTGGCTGGCCATTCTTGGGCTGATCTTCTCGGGGAGGGGCCTGTTGCCGTGGTTCCCAAATGTCTTTGCCGGAGGCGGAATTGCCCTGCCCTTGCCTGGTGGGGTCTAAGTAATCTGCTCGGGTTTGCTCTCGGTAGCTTTTGTTCCCTGCAAGCTCTCTGTACAGCTTTGGAGGAGGAGAGTGAAAATGGCGGCCTCCCAATCTCTGCGGGAGGAGCGAAGAACTCGGGGCCCCGCTCCTCAGTGCACCCCCAGAGAAAAGCAGTCACTCCCGTCTCCCTGGTCTCGGGCTGCACTCCGTGCTCACCCGGCCTGTGACCAAGCGTTTCTATCTCTGGCACCCGACCCCATGTGGAGTCTCCAAACCTAGCAGATCCCTGTGGTGTGCTCCCACACCGCTCCTCCTGGGGGAGGAAGGGGAGTCTCCTCGGATCTGCCGCTTGTTGGGTCCCTGCTGGAGGAGCAGTGGCCCTACTGTGCTGGGATCACTGTTTAAGGGAACCCCGAGCTGAGAGCCCACGCCTCGGCTCCGTCTCTGCAGCCGGCTTCCCTGCTCTGATACTTGGGAACTCTGCTGCACTCAGGTATCCCCAGTCTTTCTGTGACCCCGAGGCTCCTGAGACCACACTGTCCCACCGAGGGTTCCACGCCCTGCTTAGCCACTGGAGCGACGTCCCTCAGCGGAGCAGACTTCTAAGAGTTCCGATTTTGTGCTCCGCGGCTCTATTACTTGCCAGAGGCGGCCGACGGAGGCCCCCTCCCCTGCCGTCTATCCTCCCAAATATTGCCTGGGATTTGCTTCTCCGCACACCTTACCTTCCAGAAAGTGGTCGCTTTTCTGTTCAGAGTTGCTGCTATTCTTTTCTTCGATCTCCTGTTGAGTTTGTAGGTGTTAAGAATGGTTTGATCCCTATCCAGCTGAATTCCTGAGAGGAGATGAAATCCAGGTCTCCTACTCCTCTGCCATCTTGCTCCGCCCCCCTGTTGGGAGTTTTTTGATTACTGATTCAGTTTCATTGCTGGTAATCGATATATTCAAATTTTCTATTTCTTCCTGATTCAGTTTTGGGAAGTTATAGGTTTCTAGGAATTTATCCATTTTTTCTATGTTGTCCGACTTGTGAGCATGTAATTTTTCATAATAATCTCTTATGATTGTATTTCTTTGTTGTCAGTTGTTATTTTTCCTCTTTCATTTCTGATTTTTGAGTCTTTAAAAAAAATTTTTTTTGAGTCTGGCTAAAGGTTTATTGATTTATGATCTTTTCAAAGATCTTCTCCAGCCCAGTGAGTGTCTCTGTTTCATTTAGTTCCTTTTCAGAAACTTTTTTTCTTGTTCTTTCTTTTGGAGCATATTTCTCTGTCTCCCCATTTTGCTTGACTTCATATGTTTGTTTCTATGGATTAGGCAGAACAGCTACTTCTAAACCTGAAGTAATGGTCTTGTGTATGGTTGTCTTCTATGCAGACTGTGTGTGCTTGATGACTTTTTCTGGCTGGCTGGAGCTGTGGCTGGCATGGGCTAGGGATCTTGGGGCTTTCCAGTAGTGGGAAGCCTGTCAGGGTAGCTAAAGCTAAGAGGATTCAGGCTGTGGTGTCCCAGTGTTCTATGCACTGAGGGCACCCTTCCAGGACAGCTGAAGCTGAGATGGGTACAAGCCACTTGTCCCAGGGTACTCTGTGCATGGGATGCCTTGGCAGTGTAGCTGGATCTGGGGCAGTGTATAGGCTGGGAGCCTCTGAGCTCTGTGCAGGGAATATACCTGGCAGGTACCAACTAAGGTGGGGGCAAGATGCAGGCATCTGGGGCTCTATACATAGAGGTTCACCTTTGCAGGATAACTGAAGCTGAAGTAGTTGTAAACTGGGGTTTTCTGGGAACTCTCCACACGGGGGGGGGTCGGCCCAAAGAGGCTGGTAGAACTGAGGCAGGGCCCCAAAGAGGCTGCTAGAACTGGGAAGTCCTAGGGTGCTCTATGCAGGGGGTGGGGGCCTGGCAAGACAGCTAACACTAAAATGGGTATGGCATGGAATGGCCACTGAGCTCTCTGAGCAAAATACCCACTGGCAGGACACTTAAAGCTGAAGGGGTTCAAAGCAAGGGTGTCCAAGCACTCTCCATACAGAAGGCGACCTGGTGGGACAGTTGAAGCTGAATCAGGTACAAGCAGGTTGTCCTAAGGTGTTCAGGGCAGGGAGTGCCCTGGACAGGCTATTGGAGCCAAGACTGGTGCAGGCGGGAGTGTTCTGGTGTATTCCATGCAGGGGTGCCCTAGCAGGGTGGCTGAAACCATGTCCATGACTTTTTCCTTCCCCCTTTTACCTTATAATTTCTGAAATGCTTTCCCATGAATCCTTTTTTCCTATTTGTCTTCCATGGATGTATATAAGTATTTTCACTAAAATATAATAAGGTGCTTGTTAAAAATACAGATTCTTGGGCTATCTCAAAAGAACTGTGGGTGATGCTGGAAATATGTTTTCACCATATTTCCCAGATACATATTATCACATTGATGTTTGAAAAACACTGGTCTAGAACATGTGCCCTGAGAGCCTGTCCAATAATTTTTATGAAATTTGTGCCAGCCTCTAGGGTTATTAGGGATGCCTTGTTTCCTTTTTCTTTCTTTTTTGGTTTGTTTGATTTTATTATTTTTGCATGAGGTTGAGATTAATCTGTCTGGCTTTGCTAATGGGCATGTGGATGGATTTGGGTTTTGCCGCATAGACTCCCCCTGGGTGAAAAACACAGCTGTAATAGGTAAACATTACTGTTGTATCAATTTATGGGCCTTGTGAGTTGGAAAGGAGAAGTATGGAACGTAGAAAGAAACTCTAAATAGGGCTCTCAGAAAAAAAAAAGTGTGGTGGTTGTTCTGTTATGTGCACTACACATTTAGGGCTATTACTGAGAATCTAAGGGGTTGATCTGCAAGCATAATGTGTTCAAGTTGGATGATCAATAATACATTCAGGTCAAATGTATAATTGATTCCTGTTGTCATAGTCAAGTAGCTGGGTAGTGATTTATTTCAATTGCAAGATGGGACAGTGGTGTGGATGCAACATTCTCACCATCCCCCACGCTAATGATCATGAGTATTGGTCTATGTGCCTCTCCAAAAACTATAATTATTACACAAAAATAACTTTCCAGGATCAAAAAAGACCATTCTTGGATCAAGGATATGAAAATCACAGAACTTAAAGGATGGATACTGAAAACCTGTGGTTCAGTTCTATTTGCAGGAGAAATAGAATTATTGGATGTGCTCTAGTCACATAATATTTTTTAAAGTTGTTTTATCAGTTCTGTCTGGTAAAGTTAACTGGATTATTTCTAATTTTTATTTAAAAGGGGTTTTCAACTCACCATCCCTGGTGATGGGATGTCAACAAGACAAGGACAGTCGGATTACGGAAATCTTTATGTGGCAGCCAATTTTAATTTGTGTTCCATTCACGGCAGTGAGGAACAAAGGGGTAGAGGAATATGTTCACCAGGGTTTTGGAGAATTGAACTTGTTGCAATGGTAGTTTTCTAAATTTATATTCTTTAAGAATGTAAAACATAACAGAGGAATCAGATAAATAAACCTTAGACAAAGATTCATAATGTTGCTTTCCATATGAAATAATTCCCTCGCAGCACGCAGCCTTCTACAAGAATTGTCTTTTTGGTTGTTTGCCTGGCTCAGAGTTTGACTAGGGGCGGCCCAAACAAGGAGTGTGTGGTGGTGGGTGGCGTTGTGAGGCACAGAGCACTGCTGAGGTTGGGGTTTGTGTGGCTATCTATGCTGGCTTTTCTGTTCACACTGGATGGCCTAACATTATCCCTCCTGTAATCTTTAAACCGATTTGCTAGATTAGTTTTACATCAGATCATGATACATGATGTTGTGAAGGACACTTGGGTTATGAGTAAGTTTTACATTGTTTTAGTGATGTTCTCCAATAGCGCTCCAGGGTATTTCCATTCCAGTATGATACATCAACTATATTCTTGGAGTCTTGTCTAGAATTAAACATCCACTAAGTTCAAAAGTAATTATTTTTTTTTTATTTCAACTCTATAAAGTATACAACAGGCACTCGGCAATTACAGCTGCAGGAAAAATACAGAGCAAATCAAAGCAGGTTAATTTTATGAAAAAAGTTTTTAATCTACATCAAAAGAGTGCAAGTGGTCAATGACCATTTGATGACAGTTGTTGCATTCTGACTAACAAAGGACTCTTTCATGTAGAATAAATTGTAAGAGGACAATCAACCATAGCTGTAAGAATACAAAAGAACTGACCAGTTGTAAAAACATCATACAATGAAATAAATTGGATAGATGATGCTTGAAGAAATGTCCCTTTCCTCAGAAAGCCCAAACCTCTGAGTCATGGTCAAGGTCTCAGAGCTCTATTAATTCAGGTGCAGATAAAGAGGAGGGCTAACAACACACTTCCAATGTTTATCTTGCCAGGTCTGTTGAAAACTTGCTTCATAAATGATTTGCATATACAAGAACTCAGAAAGCATCCTGTTTTGTTGAGGAGTGCAGCAAGGTACATGTTCATCACTGGTTTCATAACGAGGTGTGGTTAGCAGTCACTTTCCAATTTTTCTTTTGAGTTGGATCATTGGTAATGGAGTCTATAAAATGAGACGTTAGAACTTGACTGCACTAAGTGGTTTTTTTTTTTTTTTAAACTGAATCTGCACAGCTTAGCAAAACAGGAATACCTGTATACAGACTGATAGTATGTCATATATTAATTTGACCCGCACATACATTTATACATTTCACAGAAATGACGCTGTATCTCAGTAACAGATACACAGCTCTGGTACGTGTAACAGAAATAAGAGAACAACTTTATCATTTCTGTAATTCATCAATATTATATAATAAAGGCTTATAAATTGTTAGCAGAAAGAACTGTAAAACGCAGCAAGCTAAGAAAGGACAACATTTTGAGGTGTATTTGTCTTTGTCATGCAGCATAACACCAAATTTGTTTTTTAATAGGATGCCATGAATTTAAGGCACTTGCAACAATGCCAGATAGCCAGGTCATGTTCTAAACTATGGAACAGGTGAAACCGTACAGTTGACATAATTTTCAATAATACTGACAATTATGACATTAATTCAAGTCTACTTGGACCTAAAAACATTATTCAGTACAAAGAAAATGAAATAATAATGCTGTGAAACACTAAAAAAAGTTATATGTACCACAAAATATCACACAAAAATATCTATTTACATAAATATTTGTGGTCCTATTGTGAAAGAAAACGTCATTATGGATAATGCACGGATCACCTCTACCATATGAAATCAGTTCTAATATCCTTATTTTCAGTATGGTAGCTGACTTCTTTAAAATTTCAGTTCACCATCAGTTCCGTCACGTAGAAATGAAATGAGAAAAATTCAGTAGCTGGATTTATATATTACACATGTGTGATTCACATGCATATCCCATAATTTTAAGTAAAAAAAAAAAAGTGACTTATAAAGTACATATCAAAAGAAATTTGTTTTCAATGCCACATGGATCTGATTCATATGTGAATAACAAAGATGATACGAACATAAAGATCATTTATAGCAAATTTCCAGAAATCATTTTCTCTAATGTTTATCTCAAATATCATGATGTTCCTTTCCTTGGCAGTTTTCAGTTTTCCTGTGCATCAAGAGGCACAGAAAGCCCTTATTTCCCATACTCAAAGTATTAACAAGAAAGTCGGTTAACAAATCAAACAAGTTGGCACTATTCTAACTTATCCAGATGTTCTTTAGTGTAAGAAAAGAGAGGGACATGAACAATTCAGAAATAAAATGAGATGCGCTTTACAAAGCTGACCATGAATTTTAGCCCTAGTGTCTTCATTAAGACAAGATTTAAATCCTTAAATTTCAATGCTGAAGATTAGAGGACTGTTTTCTGTTAGCAATTTTTGGAAGATGTAGTTCACCTTTCTTTGTTAGTGATTGCTTTAGACATCCTAAGGCAACACCACCAGTGAAATGTCATAAAGATGTGCTAACAAGTGGGAAAAATGGCCGACAGTCCCATTGAACCGGATGCTGCTCCTTCATTCCTCGGAGAACTTGTATACATTATTGTCTTAGACTTGAACCACAGTTAGCGTTAAGCTCTGGGGCTATTGGGGTGTTTGAAAAATTGCAGGAGCAGAATCTCTTAATGACTAGATGAACTTAGTATTCTAGCAAACCTTTAGTGTGCCTAAACTGCTTTGTCTTTTAACAAAAATCACTGAACGGTGACCATGATGTTGAAATTGTATACTTTTAAAAGCCCAGTTAAAAGCAATGTAAAAATCCTGAAATAGCATTCATAGCTGGATTTTAGGTTGATAGGTTTAATTTTATATTCTCATATCTGTAGAAGAATGTGGGTATCTTGGGGAATAAAATGATCTTAAGCAATTATTTCTAAGGGAGGGGAAACTCTAACCCAAGAATTACAGTAACATCTTGGGATCAAACTTTTAATGTAACTTTATTCTGATTATATATAGTATGCCCTTAGTATTTTTATTGTCCAAATGTTTCTTAGATTATGTTTTGATACCATATTCTAAAGTAGTCTTGGTATGAAAAATTCAAACAGAAATCATAATATATGCCTTCTTGGATATGGTGTAATGACCTGTGTGGATATATTTTTTGCAGAAATGTTTACGTTTCATTGATTTAAAAAACAAACAAACAACTTTATACTGGAAAAAAGCAACCTTCAATTTAATATAGCAAATTCACACACTGTTCCATATCAGGATGACAGCTAATAAGATTATGCATTTGTTTACTCAGGGAGAATGCTACTTGTCCAGGAAAAGCCTCCAAAACAGTCTGCTACCTAGGACAGCTAACTGTAGTCAACTCGCCTGCCAACAAAGGACTCAGTTTAAAGCTGCTTCTTTACCCCTCATGAAAAAAACAAGTAAGTTTGGTATTTTCCAATACATTACAGGATTGAGATATTTCTGTCCTAGTTAGCTAAAATTTATGTTTGAGAAATAGGGGTCCTGTTTTCTTCTCGACCCCCTCCCTACTCTCACACGTGCATGAACTCACAGTGGCTCATTCTCCAAAAGGTCATCAACAGCAGGCTAGGTCTGGTCCCGTTCCCTGACCTCACAGAAGCAAGCTTTCTCATCTGCTGAATCTCAATGGTTTTGTGCTTTCCTCCTCTTCTTTTTGGTTCAGGCCTAAGACAAGAAGCCAGCTGAATGGGTTTTAATCACCTGTCCCCCTCAGCCCTAGGCTATGTTGTGTAAGTGAAATCGGGTGGGAGTTTGGTTGGTAAATGTGGTGAAGAATGCTTGAGTCTCTGGCTACAGAGGTGATGAGTAGACTTTGTGTTGTCTGCTCGGACACGGACATTTACAGATGAAAGATATACATAGCACCTATATAGTTTCTTATTTTTATTTTTGGATGGATCTTAGTTCCTCTCCACCCTGCCCTGCCCCCACCCCCCAAGGGTTTCTTTTTATAAAAGGGAATATTTTAAGCCTCAGTCTGAGGGCATGTTAAGTAATAAATAAAAATCAATTGGCTGCTAGTCATTTATTTCTAGGACCATCTTGAAGCACAACATTTTAAAAGATATGAAATGGTTTGTGAGTTGCTTTTTTTTTTTTTTCCACTCTGTCATGCCAATTTATCAAGAAAAGAAACAAATATCATGCATGTTGTTGTTGTTTTTTTCAATCCTCTGTGAAAACGCATATATACCTGCTATGAGAGTTCTCAGCAGAATCTATAGCAGTTGTGCTTTTATTGTATCAATTTTTAAAATCTGTCAGAAAGGAAAGGTAACATTCAGTCTCGTCATCAGCACTGCTGGGAAATTAAATCATGAAACTTCTAGCACTGGGTTGCCATGACCTCTGTGACCAACAGATGCGTGGCCCTCTTCCGGCTTTCGCGAATGTATCCGAACGTATCCTACGCCCTCACGGGAAAAGGAAAGGAAGCTCCCAGTTTGTGTACCACCGTCATCTATCGTACCCAATATATAATTTTTTTGATCTTCTTGATAATTCTAGCAAGGTGCAGACACTTTTACTAGATTGAAGTGTTTCTGGCAGTCTTTCAAATTATAGAGCAAAGCAAGATCATTGCAACACTAGAAGACACCTCTTGACTGGTGTGAAAGGCTTTGCTTCAGGACTACCATGTCAACTGCTATGTTTAGGATCAAACAGAAAACATGTAAAGAGCACTGTTGTCCTAATGCCACTGCATTTACCGGAGCAGCATCGATCAAAGGCATCATGGTGACCCCGGGCACTAATCTTCTCTCCGTCCCTCAGGTTTGCTGGCAGCTGTGTCTCAGAAAAAGCTGACTTCAGCAAGGCAGAAGCAGGTAAGAGAAATACATTAGAAGTCTATGTCCCATCCCGAGTTGTCGTCAGGTGGCGGTTCGTCATTGTCCTCAGGGAAACTGTCGAAATTGCTTGTGTCTGTGGGTGATGCAACCTGCACACAAGAGGATGGACAGGGAAAGCATTTCTTTATTTGCGAGTCAAATTCCAAAGGAGAGTTTTACAAAGTGTTGTTCTTTATTCATGCCCTCATCGACAACTATTTTTTTTTTTTTTTGAGTGTCTACCAGGTTTTGTGCTTTGTATAGGGGGAACAGCAGTGAATAAAAACAGACATGGCTCTTATCCTCATGAAGTTTCTACTCTAGCAGAGGGTACATTGTAGGATTCAAACAAAAAAGTCTGGTTACTGCTATGAAGAAAAAAGAGCATAAGAGTGATGATGGAAAGCCTCTTTGAAAAAATATTATTTCAAAACTAAGAATCGATGAGTTTGATTTTTGCATGTGCAAAGGTCCTGAGGTGAGAGAGAGTGCTTCATGCTGTGATGTAACCAAAGAAGGCCAAGGTGGCTGCTCTATAAGAGAGGAGAGTAGTGGAAAGAGAAATAGGAAAAACAGGCAGAAATCAGGTCGTGAAGAGCCTTGTAGGCCATCTTAAGGCTTTTGTGTATTTCAAGTATAATAAAAAGCCATTCCTAAACCCAAGCAAAACTCTTGCAAATTTACTGGGTAAAGTCCAATCTGGAGAGCATCAGTAAAAGCGGTGAAAATCCACGCTGTAGTTTCCCTCATTTCTAGAATATTTACAACCACTGATATACTAATATTGAATGAAATATATATGGGTATATCCATAAATATATCCCATTCAGTATTACTATTACATAAAAGGAAACTGCTGATAGATTTAGGTAAGTATCATTTAGGCCTACTATTTACCCCTCCAAGTTTCTTACTCTAATTTATTCTAAAAACAAAACCTCAGGAATTCCATTAGCATCTGTAATGGGAGGTATGGTAATGGGATTTGTGTTTTGTCTGTGAATAAACACAAACGTTGTCACAGAAATAAATCTTAGAAGTAGGGAAAATGGTTCTGTATAAAGAGCAGTCTTGAGTTAGTCCCAGAAAAACGAAGTATATATCTGAATGGCTCAGGACAGTGAAGCAGCCCCCTATTTCTTTGTAAAGATGCAGTACGTTTCATCAGACAGATGTGGTATTAAATAAAAATACGTAAAGATGCCAAACACTTGATCACTGTCAGTGGGCTGCTATTTAACAAAACGCCTGACGTGTTCAGAAAAGACAGTTCAGGAAAGAGAATCCTTTTCTTTTAGAGCCTCATGAAAGGATAAATGAACACGGTATTGCCTGGGAGTACTTCGAAGCGATACGGAGGCATAAAAAGAAACACTATTGGCCAGGAATTGGTGGCTGTTGGACTGTTGACCAAACCCAGCCAGAAACCAGAGGGCACAGGAATGCTCTGAGTGGCTCTTACAGGTTAGGCTCCTGGGGACAGAGCAAGGTGGGGTGTAAACTGGGATCATAAAGACAAAATAACAGCCCACTGCCCTAACTCACCCAAGTATACTCTTGTATACACTAAACTGGTCATAATTCATCAAGAGGCCTAATTCATTAAAGTTGTTCATGCATTCTTGGGCATTGATGTGTGAAGTTTATAGATTCTGAAAAAGAAACTTGTTGCTGGACACTCATTATGCTCTTTTGTCTACATCAGTGGATATTTAACACTTACTATACTAAAAGTCCATTTTTATTCAGAAATAAACGAAATTAGAATGAATAGTTTAAAAAGGTAATGGTAAAATACACATAAAACAACCATCCCCTAATTGACCTGTGTTTAAGCTTGGGTTTTAGATACCATTATTCTAAGGTGGTACTTCTCCTGTAGTTAATTTAAGCTGATCATAGGATAAAACTTTAACAACTGACCTAAGCACCGTACGTGTGTCACAGAAATATAAGCTGGATGGTCTACTTACACTTGGTATTATAGGAGGTGTCAAGGTGCCTTTTCTTAAGCCTTCCCAATTAAAGCCCTCAAACCATCTAGGAAAGGGAAAAAAAAAAGGTAGCTAGTTAAAGGCATTTTACTTCAGCTAAAACCTCATTGCAACATACGTGATAGAAAGCAGCTAGGCAAACATTTTCAATGTGACAAGAATGTATTCTATTGCAAATTTTTAGGGCCAGGTTTTTAAAAATATGCATTCCATAAAAGAAGTTAATTGTTGAAATATTTAACACCAACTAGAAAATAACTCCTTTTCTAGCAATTTCAGGCAGAATGTCTGTATGACCTTGTTCCTACACTATCATTATAACTTAATAAATGTCATGATATGCTTGGCCCTGAGCCTTACAGGACATTTTATTTTAAGGCTATAGAACAAGGGCATCAAAAGTCAGGACAGAAAATTATCCTTTCAGCTTTGCACTGATTCTGTGGGGAGCCTCAGTTAATTAACCTTTCCACAGCACTGTATTAGGTGTTAACTCTGACTTGGCACTTTTTTTGTGTGTGTTCATAGAAAAAAAAAACCAAAACATTAAATATGCAATACTAGGGTCATAGCAATTCCTAATAAAATGAAGGTATTTTGTGTAGTTTTTCCTGTGAAAATGAGGACCAGATAACACTAAGGTTTTTGGTTCTGTTCTGTCTTTAAAGTAGCAAATGCTTACACCAAATTCTTAGCAGGTGTTTGAGATATTTATAGATATTTTGATAAATAAGTTCTTCTGGTAGGGATGTGAATTTCTTGTGAGTGTTACCAAAATAGACTAATAAAAACCTATTTGGTCTTAGCTTAGCATTTAAATATCCAATTAACTAGATAAAGTTTAATATTTTTTTTAAAGATTTTATTTATTTGAGAGAGAGAATGAGAGAGAGCACATGAGAGGGGGGAGGGTCAGAGGGAGAAGCAGACCCCCTGCTGAGCAAGGAGCCCGATATGGGACTCGATCCCGGGACTCCAGGATCATGACCTGAGCCAAAGGCAGTTGCTTAACCAACTGAGCCACCTAGGCGCCCGATAAAGTTTAATATTTAGGATGTTGCTGTGGTTTAAAGAAAACCACTGTACTCTATACTTTTTTTCTCTTTGTTTTATCATCTAATTAGGGAGTAGTGAGAAAAATATATTCCAGTTTTAGTCTGGGAAATGAGGCATGATATGGTGGAGGACTTTCATTTTTGATACCCTGGTAGAGAATAGAATCCCAGAATTAAAAAAGTACACATTTCCTCTTTGTGCCAGAGAGGAAAAATGCCCAGTAGTGGGAGTTGGGAGAAACTGAATTCAGTGAATCAGTCGCTTAGTATGGCACAGGGGTCGTGTGTATTTGTGTGATGTTTCCCAGACACAAGCAGAAGGGCCTTAGATCAGAAGGCTAACTGGTCTCACGTCCCCTTGGATGTTCCCGTAGGCTAACTACCCATCACCCAGCCTGGGGAGGTACCTGTCCTGCTTTCTGGACCCTCCATCGATAGGGACAAGGAAAGAATACTTACTTGTGCTTCTGAATGTCTTTCACACCATTTTTCAAATTCCCCAGTCTTTCTGATGGGTTATCCCTGGAATGAAAATAAGAACTTTAAGGAATCGAATCACTTTGGCATTATGATCCTTTCAACAGCCATGGGGCTGAAATGCTTACCTGCATAGTTTTTTAATTAAATTAGCAGCATTTTTGGCAATCTTCTTTGGAAATTCTATCATGTCAATCCCCCTCAGTATGATGTTATAGGTTTTCATAGGATCTGGGCCTGAGAAAGGTGGGCTGCGAGAAGGAGACGTGAAAAGAGAATCACTTTGGTTTTCTAAATAAGAAATCTTAAGTTGTTACAACTCCACAAATTATATCAATTCTTATCTAGGGACATATATGAGTAGTGGTAACGGAATGATGCTGGATCAATAGCAAAACAGCATGGAAACCTTTTCAAGGAAACTGCTTAGCAAAACCATACATGGGTCAAGTTTGTCTGTCTTTTTAGTGCAGGTGCTGAACCCCTCTTGCTGTCCTTGGCCATTCAAGATGCTTCTTCCACTTTCTAGCCCTTTCCCTGCCCTTGATTACACCTGAGCTGAAGCGCAAAATCACTAGAACATTACAAGGACGTCTGTGATAGGACACCATCTCCTGCCAACACCACCCTGGCTCACTCGGATCAGCACGCCATTTGTGGGCACAATACTGATCCCATGAGCTCTATCAACCAACCTAAAGTTTCAATTCAAGTTATTAGACTAGATTGTTGCAATATATTTTTTTTAAATTTTTTTATTCTTATATTATCCCCATACATTACATCATTAGTTTTACATGTAGTGTTCCATGATTCATTGTTTGTGCATAACACCCAGTGCTCCA